TCCCCTCGCAGGTACTGGCCGCTGTGGCCGTTGGTTGGCCCCAGCGCGAGGGCGGGACGAGCGGCGGGCGGGCGGGAGCCTTTCGAGGCCGTACCCGGCTGCCGGGAGGAGGCTTGGCCCGGCAGCCCGGCACTCTTTGTTCCCGCGGTGGGAGCGAGGAGGTGCGGCTGCAGTCAGTCACCCGGAGCGCCGGCCGCTGCCTCCTGGCCAGTGGCCCTATTCTCCCTCCCTCCCTTTTAGCCGAGGCGCAGGTGAAATGATGTCACCTCGGAGAACGCAGAACCCGTTCGGAAGGGTCCTTTCTCGCGACCTTTTGCCCCCTCGGGTTGGTGGACAAGCTGCGTTTAGTTCTCAGTGCATGGAAGTTCTTCTTTGAGGGCTGAAGAATGAGAGGTTGGTTTTTGAAACGAGAGTTTTTTGAAGGCCAAAGAATAAAGTTTTTGTTTCGTGCATGCAGATTGTTGGGACAGCGCTTTTCTTTGTGTTGCAGAATTGATGTATGCTGTTTAGTAAAAGTTGAGTATGCTAGTTCTCTCATAAATACAATCGAAAGTTAAATGCATCCTATGAATTGCTTTTATTGCTTAAGCAGTGGACTTAACATGAAATTTTAAATGTACTCAACGCTCTTATGCTTATGTACGATCGTTTGTTACCTTAAAATTCCAAGTTTACGGGGTCCTATTTAGCCTTGATTGCAGATGCTATTGTAGTAAACACATTTGCCTTAAGTTTTTTTTTTAATAATCCTTTCACAGTTTTTGTAGAGGTCAGAATAGTTTCTGTTTTGGGTGGAACGCGAATGTAGGAAATAGAACTTGTGTAGAAATAGCAATGCAAGACCAAATATAGGTATCATAATGGATACAGTAAGGTTAAGCAAAATCAAAAGGTGAAGAATTTAACCATTTCTCCACTTCCTCCTGGCTCATATACTAAATTTATTTCACCTTCTGGAAACTAACTGTGACTCTGTTCATTATAGGAGGGTTCCACTTTAAAGTTGTTTCCTATCACTTTCTGTAAGACTTTCCTAAGAGAATTGGAGGCCTTTACTGCTGTTCTGCCACAGACTGGTCTTGTGGGCCTCAGCTCCTCTTCTGAAAGAATTGGACTTAAAAGAATTAGACTTAAGTGGACTCTTCACCTCTGATACTTTTTTTTTTACAAAAGGTAATTTGTGTTCCTGTACTGTTAACATTTACATATTTATTCTGTTCTTGTATCTAAACTAAATGTACAAGTATTAGTCTTTGGATTGATAATTTTATCCACTAGAAAAACCTTGGGTAAACAGATTTAACTGAATCTATGACCATCATAATGTATAGTGTGGATCCGTTGTTTCTCTTTGCCAACAGCATTGAATAAGGTTTTTAGTTATGTTACATTATTAGGCTGTTACTGTTTGTGCTCACTTTTTACTAGAGAAGTATGAATGAAAATGAAAGTCTCTAAAAGGATTAGGTAATGAAAAGATTTTTAATTTGTTCCATTAGTTTCTCTGTCTTGTCTTGTCTCTGGTTGGGATAAGATCCACTGTTGGTAATTCATCTTACTAGAATAGAAAGGTAGTTCTTGATTAGTCTTGATGGTGTGTGGCATGGTATGTGGATGTATTTATTTGCACCATATAGTTTGTCTAGTTTGTTTGTTTAACATGTCCTCTTGAGGACATGTTAAATACCTAATATGACATTGTATGGAGGAGATAAGGCAAATGTTTAAATTCTGTAATAAGTTAATGACAATGGTATTGGGAGTAAACAGATGAAGAAGAAGGGTCAGAGAACAGTCTCATTTTCTCTCAACTTTTGGATCTTTTCATGTTCATTTGCTGCATATGTCTCACTTCCCAGTTCCTTATTGTTATTTTATAAAACTCAACTGAGAAAAGGAAATGGGGGAGCCTATTTTCTCCTGCTTTTGTGATGCTTCTAGAAAGATACAAGTCTATTTAAGTTTGCCTTAACTCAAGAATGGGAATAATGCCGGGCGCTGGTGGCTCACGCCTGTAATCCTAGCTACTTAGGAGGCTGAGATCTAAGGATCGAGGTTCAAAGCCAGCCCAGGCAGGAGAGACCGTGAGACTCCTATCTCCAATAAACCACCAGAAAACCGGAAGTGGC